GGCAGCCTGAGAGGGCCCCAAGACGGCCCAAGATGGAGCTAAGAGGATTGACACGAACCGAAAATCCGAGTCTTCCACCCCGAGAGGCTCTCAGGAGGCCCCGAGAAGCCCCAGGCCTCCCACGAAGGCCCCAAGAGGCAAACATACATGTCTTGCCATAGGTTTTTGATTGATGTTAGAGTTTTCAGCCTGTTGGCGTCCTGACGCTCCAAGACTGCCCAAAAGGCCTCCAAGACCAATCCAAGATAGCCCAAGAGGCCTCCAACAGGGCCCAGGACAGCCCGATTGGCACCAATACGGCCCCAAGGGGGGCCCAAGTGGGGTAAGACGAACCGAAAATCCGAGCCTTTCAGCCCGAGAGGCTCTCGGGAAGCCCCAGAGGCCCCCAAATGGGACCCAAGAGGCCCTCAAGAAGCTCCCCAGAAGGCCGAAGAGGTTCCATGAAGCATTGTTTTCCCGTCGGCTTTTGATGGATTTTAGAGTTTCCAGCCTTTTGGCATCCCGACGCTCCAAGACGGCCCAAGTGGCCCCCAAGACTGATCCAAGATAGCCAAAGGGGCCTCCAAGGGGGCTCCAAAACGGCCCACGATCGATGGTGCCCGAGGCGCCCAAGACGGCCCGAGAGGGCCCCAAGAGGGCCCCAAGAGAGCCCAAGAAGGGGAAGGCGAACCCAACAGCAGAATTTTCCGCCTTAAGAGGCCCACAGGAGGCCCCAAGAGTCCCCAAGTGGCCCGACGAGGCCCCCCAAAGCCCCCCACCAGGCCCCAAAAGGCTCACAGGAGACGTACACGGGGCCCCAAGATAGCCGAACAGTGCTTTCGATGCATCAAAATTGCTTCAAGGAGGCCCCGAGAGGCTTCCAGATTGCCCCAATGTGGCCTCAAGCCGGGCCTCCACGCAGCCAAAACGGCCAATTGACTGCTTCAGACTGCAGAACATCACTTTCCGACTGCCCTGAGAACCCTGACGATGCCCCCAAGGGACCCCAAGAAGCCCCAAGATGCCCCCCCCGAAAAGCACCCACGAGGTGCCTCCAACAGCCAAGTGAGGAAGCACGGAGAATGCCCCAGAAGCCCTTCAGATGCCCCCACGAAGACCCAAGAGGTTCCCACGAAGCCCTCAGGAGGCACGACTATGTCACGCGCCTGTGCTTGATAGCGCTGTCCAAGGTCTTCTAGCCTAGAACCATCGCGCGCGCGAAGCGCGCGCGATGGTTCCAGTATATATATATATATATATGTATATATAGAATTCCTCCAAAATCCGCGTGTGGGGGGGGCATGTCTGAGCTAACCCTTCGCGTGCGCGCTGGCGGTTCGGGAGGCTCCACCGTCTTCGGGATGCTGGCGGGCATCCACTTCTGAGGAGCGCGCCTCGACTACACGTACAAGAGTGGCCCGTCGCTGGGGTGACCTTTGGTGCGGGCCCACCGGGGTCTCCCGATCGCCGAACGCGATGCGATAATAATTAGCGTGTTGCGCTCGTGGGGGGGGGCCCCCCCGCGGCCCCCCGAAAGCAGCGCACCAAGGGTCACTCTTGCCTACTAGGGGCACCCATGCCGAGAAACACCCTGCGTGTCTCTAGGGTACCCTGGGTTTCTTGGGTTTCGATGGTTTTGCCATGGAAAGCGTGACGTTCCCACACCAAAACTCAATGGACGTCCTGGGGTCTCAGGGTTGGGTTTCTTGTGAGAGGTTTCTTGTGGTCGAGCCCCTACTGTAGGTCCTTGGGGGGTGGCCCCCGGGTGCAGGACTCGTTTCCCTCGTGACCCGTCTCCTCAGATCTGGGAGCCCAGAGGGGCCAGAATTAAGTCGGGCCTGTCCCCCTACAGGGGATTTTCGATGAAATATACAAAATACTACAAAAATGCACCAAAAAGGTCAAACAATATTCAACAAATAGTCCCCATATCATTTTTGGTTTATGTTTTGTTTTTTGGGGGGTATTTTTTCGTCGAAAATCCCTCTGTAGGGGGACACGCCCGACTTAAGGCCAGCAGCCCTCGTGTTCCCCGATCTGGCCTCTCCGAGAGCCGCCGACATCGAGCGCTGATTCCCGCGCGCACGCGTGCTGTTTGGCCCCCACCGACCTGGGGCAACAGTACAGTGCCGTTTTTAATGCATGCTCCGCGTGCGGATCATGTTTAAAAATGCAAGGATCTAGTATCAAAAACAACGATGAGCTCATGCATACACGTATTCAGACATTGATCATGTATCAAAAGGTTTTATGTTTTTAGTAATCCCATGTGTTAAAAACTGCCCTGTACACCAACATGAAAAACAGAAGCTTCAAATGCGCTGGGCGTGCCCCCTCGGACGGACGGTTGGCCCCCTCCACCTGCGTGGCTCAAAGCCAGCAGAGGCTATAGAGATGTTGCCCCGGACACCCTCGAGTCATGAGCATAGCACCACGGGAGGTTTTCCGCCGTGTGTGTGTGTGTGTGTGTGTGTGGTCTTGGGGGCCCTTGCCGGGCCTCGGGGCTGTCAACGGACGGCTCAGGATGCAAAGCCAGTCCTGGAGATGGGCCGAGACCCTTCAGGCGCCGCGTAATGGGGAGGGCGGCAAATTGGGGGGCAGCGAGGACTGCAGAAATGAAGCCCTTCAGGGCCCCTCAAGAGGCCCTTGAGGACCCAAAGGGGGGCCATTAGGGCCCGAAAGGTGCACCTTTCCCCATCCCCCCCACTTATCGCCTATCGCCCCCCCCATGACGGCGACGCCCAACTGATGAACCAAGTCATGCCGTCGGGGATCTGACCACTTTTTTGCAGAAGACGCCACTTGACCACCACCCCGATCCTGGTCGGGCCCCTCCCTGGCCCAGGACTCCGCCCCGCCAGGGTCGGCGAAGTGCCGGAGGCGGATAGACCCCCTATACCCTGACACGTCGATTAGCGAATTGGCCGTTTTCGGTTCGCGAGAGAGCGTCGCGGCCGTAATTTGCGCGGGTCCAGGTCCGTCGGTTTCGGTCCCAGGCCGTTTTCACTAAAGGGAGGTTTACTGAAGGGAGGCTTGTCCGCCGCCCAAAGTGGCCAGCTGACGTCCCCCGAGCTGCCTCGACCTCGATGCTGCCCGGGCGAGCCCCAGCAGTGACGCCCGGCCGCTTTTCCTGCCTCCTGCGGGGGCCGTGGCCCCGGCCGGCAGCCCTCGCGACGATTGCTCGGAGGTCCACGCGGCTTTCTCGGGCCGGCGCTGTCGCTCCCCCCCTCCTTGGCGCGCTCCGCGTGCCAGGGGCAGGGGCGGCGCAGGCGCCACCCCTGGTGGCGCCTCTGGCGCCACCAGTCGCGTCGTCGTCGTCGTCGTCGTCGTCGTCGTCGTCGTCGTTGTCGTCGCTCGTCGCTCGTCGCTCGTCGCGTCGCCCGCGCGCGGGCGCGGCTGCGGTTGCGGAGCCACACGGCAGGGGGGGCGTTATGTCATACCCCCCCTCTCGCCCCACCCCCCCATGACGCCCGTCATCGCCGAACATAAAGAAACGCGCTCCAGGAAGGAGCGTCCCGCGCCGATCCAAGAGCTCGGCGCGGACGCCGGAAGGTGATGATTCTGCCAGAGTTTCCTCCTCTACTCCGGAGGGAAAAGCACACAGACGGGAACACTCGTCGCTTCCCACGGCGATGTGGAACATGTGTGGAGTGGAGGGGGAGATCGGGCCGGACGAAAGGGGGGGCATTGGGAAAGGGGGGGGTACGGCATTTGCTGCATGCAGCTGGTTTCGGCCCCAACGAGGGGCCCATTCCTCAATACATAGCCGCCTCCGGCGCCAGGAGGGCGCCAGGAAAATCAGCTACGTGAGCTGATTCTCAAACCCCCCCTTTGCTATCCCCCCCTTTCGCCCGGCCCGAAACATGTTTCGAGTGGAGGGGGAGACGACACCCCAGGAAATCTTTGGAAAATCTCATGGAGTCCTGGGATTCGTGTTGATGTATTGCGAAGGCCTTACGGCCAGTGCCGCCGACTGACGACGACGACGACGACGACGACGACGACGACGAGCGCTCTCGGGGGCCTCTTGGGGGTAGTTTGGGGGCCTCTCGGGAAGCTCTTGGGAGCCGCTTGGGAGCCTCGTGGGGTCCTCTTGGGGCTTCCTTGGCTCCTGGAGGCCTCTTGGGGCCTCTTGGGGGGCTTCTTGGGGGCCTCCTGAGTTTCGTGTTGATGTATTTGGGTGTGCCCCTGGGTGCCTCTGTCCACGGTGGTTGCCGTCGCAGTCCGCTGCGCTCCGCTCCTCCTCCTCCTCCTCCTCCTTTCGTCCTCCTCCGCTCGCCTGGGCCACCACTGGTGTTAAGGCGACCCTGTCCCTCTACAGGAGGAATCTCCAAACATAGGCAACAAATAGTCTGGGGGCCATGTTTTGATTATGTTTGAGCATTTGGGGAATATTTTTGGGGTACTTTTCAGCTTTCGCTCAAAATCCCCCTGTAGGGGGACACGCCCGAGCCAACACTGGTGCTCCGAGCTTGGCGCATGCGCGCTGCGCGAGCTGGAGGGTTACGCCCCTCTGCGACGGGATCGGTTCTAGGGTTCACAGTTGATCCTTCCTTTTGCATGCGTGCGTGCCACGTCATTTGGTTGCGTGACTCATCCCAGATTCGGCGTCACCCCAACATGCTTACATTATGTGTGCGTCGCCCCCCTGGGGGCGATGCGCGCACCGAGAAATCTAATAGTACATGCGTCGTGGCGGGGGCTTTCTGGCCACACCGCTCGGGAAACGTATACCACAAGATGGGTATATACTGCATGTTCGGGTCGGACGCGCGCCTCCAAGGAACACATAGATAGTACTAGGATGTCGTTTGTGCGTCCCACAGATGCCGATGCGTGTGTGTGTGTGTGTGTGTGTGTTGTGTGTTGTGTGTTGTGTGTTGTGTGTGTGTGTTGTGTGTGTGTGTGTTGTGTGTCGTGTGTGTTGTGTGTGTGTGTGTGTGTGTGTGTGTGTGTGTGTGTGTGTGTGTGTGTCTGTGTGTGTGTGTGTGTGTGTCTGTGTGTGTCCCCCGCGCCGTTCCATGCAGCCCGCTGGGGAGGCACCCCGCTCGCGGCCTCCGCGCTCGCTGGCGCTCCTCGCCAACTCGCCGAGCGCCACCTTCACCGACTTCGACGACCCCACCGTGACCGTTGTGGACCTGGAGGAGGGGCGAGCGGGCTTCTGGGACGCATCCTGAGCCAATCGCATCCTCATATCGTCCCCATCCCAATCCAGTCCTTTTGCCTGTATTTTGTTCGCAGCGCACTGTGTTTCTGTAAGTTTTGCTCGGTGGCGAGCGAGGGGGGAAATGATAATGAGAAGGTCTTCTTAGAAAGGCTCGGAAGTCCCCCGGCGTTCCCCGAGACCCCACCGTGACCGTTGTGGATCTGGAGGAGGGGCGAGCGGGCCGCAGACCTCCTCGCGCCGTGCCAGGAGTCCCTTGGCATCGCTCGGACGTGTGCCTTTTTTCCCGGCGAGAACCGTCGGGGACCACCCTGGACCCTCGAGCCAAGAACACACGCACGAAGCCGAAGCATGCACCTTGGCATGGCTCGGACGTGTGCATTCTTCCCTCGGCGAAGACCATCGATGAGCATCCTTGGTCACTTGGCGAAAAAAAACACGCACGAAAAACCGACAAAAAACACAGGGAATGGACGTCCGAGCGATGGCGAGTGCACGTGACATTGGACTCGGGTCGGGCGAAAGGGGGGGGTTGGGAAAGGGGGGGTTACGAAATCTGCTGCATGCAGCTGGTTTCGGCCCCGCCGCCGGGCCCATTCCTCGATACATGGGCGCCTCCCGGCGCCGGGAGGCGCCTGTAAAATCAGCTACGTGAGCTGATTCTCAAACCCCCCCTTTGTTATCCCCCCCTTTCGCCCGGCCCGATGGACGTCCGAGCGACGGCAAGGTCACGACGGGAGGTCTTTCGTTCTTTTCCAGCCTCTGGAGGCCCTTCCTGGGCCTCGAGGCCCAGTGCTTCGGGGCCGTCAAAAAACGGCCCCGATCGGGGCCGTTTCAGGGGAGGAGGAGGAGGAGGAGGAGGAGGAGGAGGAGGAGGAGGAGGAGAGGAGGAGGAGGATGGAGGATGGAGGAGGAGGAGGAGGAGGAGGCGGAGGAGGAGGAGGAGGAGGAGGGGCCCCGATCGGGGTGAAAGACCGGTCCCAGGGAAAGGGTCCAGACCTTTGGGGTCCGACGTTGTGAAAAATCACGACGTCGGGGGTCCTTCCTGGGCCTCGAGGCCCAGTGATTCGGGGCCGTCAAAAAACGGCCCCGATCGGGGCCGTCAAAAAACGATTCGGGGTGAAAGACCGGTCCCGGGGAAAGGGTCCAGACCTCTGGGGGTCGGCGTTGTGAACAATCACGACGTCTGGGGTCTGGGGTGGGTGGGCCTTCCCGGGGTCCACTTCAAGCCGCTTGATCCTACATTCGATATCGGTTCTGGCGATCTCAATCCGATTCGATTCGATATCGGTTTTGGCGATCTCAGTCCGATTCGGTTCCGGTACTGCGGCGGTGCGGTGCGGCCCGGTGCCCGCAGGGCGTCGATGTGCTTTCTGGCGCGGCCGCGAGCCGACGCGATGTGTGCTCCTCTGCCGACGCCGCCCGATCCGGCGCGCACTCTGATGAAGGGCCCCCAGGACACACAAATAGATACACACAAATAAACAGATTCCCCTATATTTTCTCATGTTTTCTGGGTTTCCGTCTTCCCCCCCACTTCCCATATGTTCCCATATTTTCTGAGGAATCGAGGATTAATTGTGTCTGTGTGTTTTTTCTCCTCTCCTGATCTAATTCGATCCGATGTCCCGATTCGACGTTCACCGATCCTGCTTCATTGCCTGACAACAGACAGCAGTCGTATTGCGCTTGACCTTTGCGCATCTTTTGGGCAAGTCAAGCCCTGCGCACGAACGGCGCATTGGCGAATAAAAAGTTAGCACAGCGCACTGTCGCCGGACAGCTGATGCGATGCGAAATTCAGTGAAAACGCATCGGTACCACCTGAGCATCTGGCACTGCTTCTCTAGTCATGAACAAGACATCGCAGTCATGATACGACCCGGACTTTCTAGGTTCCTCACCCAGGTTTCCCCATTTTGCTCCATGGGTTCCAGGACCGAGGGTCGCTAGATACTCCGGATAATTATCCTGGGACGCATCCTAAGCCAATCGCATCCTGATATCGTCCCCATCCCAATCCAGTCCCTTTGCCTGTATCTTGTTCGCGGCGCACGCTGTGTTTCTGCAAGTTTTGCTCGGCGGCGAGCGAGGGGGGAAATGATGATGAGAAGGTCTTCTTAGAAAGGCTCGGAAGTCCCCCGGCGTTACCCGAGAAGTTTTCAGAGCCTTCCCCGAAGACAGAAGCAGCTTCTCAGAAGGCGCGAGGGCTTCTGAGAAGCCCCGCCGCCGTCTGAGAAGGCCTTCTCCTTCTTGTTTCTCTGCCTCGCTCGCCACCACAACTGCACGTGTTCGGATGCAACTCCTGGGAGGTCGAATTCTGTTTTCGCCCTGGTCCGAAATCCGGCTTCATCCAGCTCCATCCCGCTCGGCCCGGCTTCATCCCGCCGAATCCCGCTTCATCCAGCTTGATCCTGCTTGGTCCGAGGCCCTTTCCGGCGCAACGGCTCCCAAATGGGGCCTAATCTTATGTCGGGCGTGTCCCCCATACAGGGGGATCTTCGACGAAAAATAAGGAGTACCCCAAGAATACCCCAAAAAGGTAAAACATACAAAACACATATTCCCCAGACTATTTTTGGACTACTCTTTGACCCGTTTGGGGGTATTTTTTTTATTTCTCGTCGAAAATCCCCCTGCAGGGGGACAGGCCCGACTTCAGACGAAGGACGCCCAGCAGCTGCCTCCCAGCGCGGTGTGCGCAGCGATCGACGCGACGACGCCTGCCCGCCCACGTCGGGGCCGCAGGGGGCTCGGGCTCGAGGCTCGGGCCCCGAGGCTCGAGCTGCACCGGGCTCCTCCTCTTCCTCCTCCTCCTCCTCCTCCATCCTCCTCCTCCTCCTCCATCCTCCATCCTCCTCCATCCTCCATCCTCCTCCATCCTCCTCCTCCTCCTCCTCCTCCTCCTCCTCCTCTCCTCCTCCTCCTCTCCTCCTCCTCCATCCTCCTCCATCCTCCTCCTCCATCCTCCTCCTCCTCCTCCTGCTCCTCCTCCCTGGAGGGCCTCGCGCCCCGCCTCCTCGAGCTTTCGAGCAGCGTGGTGCAGCGTCCTGGCTTGCCTATAGCAGGGGCGGCAGAGAGGGGGGTGATGGCTAGGGGGGGGGGAAGGATCCCATGGCGGGGGCCATGACATTTCCCCAGATTTCATGGCGCCTCTTCTTGTTTCATGGCGTTCCCGGACCCCCCGCTGGGCCGCGCACATGCCGCCGGCCGTGGTTTGCACCCCCCCCTCTTGGACACCCCCCTCTTGGCCGCTCCCGACGATAGGCCCTCCAAAGCATGTTCTGGGAACCTGTTCTTTTGGATGCAACTCCTGGGAGGTCACATTCTGATTTAGCCCTGGTTCGAAATCCCGCTGAATCCCGCTTAAGCTGGCTGAAGCTGGCTTCATAGGCTGGCTCAAATCCCGCTTAATCCGCGGCCCAGTCTGGCATAGTAGCCCCCCACTGGGGCTTAATCCTTTTTATTCCTTGCGACAAAGACCTCCCAGTAGTTGCCTCCAGCATGTTCTAGGAACCTTCTCTGGTTTGCACCACGTTTCTGGCTGAGGCTGTGTTTTTTCCCACGTCGGCCGAGCTTTCTGAGAGCATGGCTTCCGTTATTCGAGCACTGCGTTGGTCTACGAGCATGTCGTGGTAGGCCTGTGGGAACGCCGGGACGGTCGGCACCTGCTCCACGAGTTCGCTGTTTGGGGGGCACCTTCTCGCGGCTGGCCGCGAAAAAAGTACGCTGCGCGTTTCGGGGGGGAAGTGGGGTCCCCCCCTCTCCCTGTCTGTGGCCCCTGCCGGGCCTCCGAGGGGGCTTCTCGTCGCCACGGCATGCCCCGCATCGATGCTACGTAGCCGAGACGCACCCAGGGGAGAAGAGGTAAAGGGCACCGGGACATGCGGAGTGAGGAGGAGGAGGACGAGGAACAGAGGAGCAGAGGAGCAGAGGAACAGAGGAACAGGGAGGAGGGAGGAGGTGGAGGAGGGTCCGAGACTCGTTTGAGGGTTCATGACAGTTGTTCCAGGACAGCGCGGGGCAGTACTGAAGCTCCAGAAGTCTTACAAGATTCGGAGACGGAGGAGGGGAGTGAGAGGAGGAGGAGAAGGAGGAAATGGAAAAGTAGGAGGAGGGATAGGGGTGGGGAGGAGGAGGAGGAGGAGGAGGAGGAGGACGGGACAGGAGTTGGAAGAGAGAGAGGAGGAGGAGAAACAGGATGCGTACGCAGAGAAGCCTCACAGCAGTGGCTCGGATGTGATTGCGCTGGTGATCCGTCGGTCATATTATTTGTCTGCGACGCTGGCATGTCTCTGGACACGATCAAAGTAGAGCTCCGGGCGTTACTTCGGATAGCAACGAACGCAATGTTCTAAGGCCTCGTGGGGTAGGTGAGCTGGCAACTGCTTACCGATCAGCTTACCTCAGCAAGGACCGAGAGATCCAGGCATTGCATGTTATGTCACACTCAGTGGATACGCACGTTGCCAGGCCCTGGAAATCTCGCGGATCGATCCCGCTCGAGAGATGCCGCAGAGAGTTGGTGTCTAAGTTTCTGGCATTCGTTTCCCAACGTGTCATCTGCTTGCGCGGCGTCGGGTGTCAGCGGGGGAATTGACGGCACGCACCAGAGGGCGCGAGGGGGGGCGCTTTCTGAGAAGGCGGGGGGCCTGCGAGGAGGAGGAGGAGGGGGAGGGCCTGTGGAGCCCCAGCTCCACCTGCGATGTTACAATACACCCGCCCTCCAAGTTCCCTCTCCATACGTCGCTAGAAGAAGTTGTCTCGTTGCGGGAAGTGACCTATTTGAAGACAATCGTGGTTGAGAGACCTCGGTCAGGACAAAACGCAGTTCCTGCGACTTCAACGCCGCGGATCCACGTACTGTGGCGTCATGACCATCCCCAATCGTGCCAGAACACTGTGGGAAGGCGACCGTACGAGTCCGTGCACATACCGTAAAGTTTAGTATGCACGGCGTCAGATCGGCGGCAGCACCTTGCGAAGGAGCCGCCCTCCACGCGTGAAACGACGTGACACTGCCACAGCGAACATGCGCGGCGCCACGGCGAGAGCCAGCGCACTGCTGAGCCGCCTGAGATTCCAGGCGGTGAAGCTGCACGAGCGTGCGCGGCGCTGGGGCGGGAGCCGCATTCCGAGGACGATCCGCCCTCCATCGGTGGCGCTGCTGCAGATCTCTGCGCAAGGCGAGCGCGCGGGGCGCGGAGGCGAGCGCCACAGTCTGTTGAACGCCACCCGCCCTCCGTCCGTGGCCGCTGCTGCGTGCTCCTGACACGGATGCGCGCCGCGCGGGGGCGAGGGCCACATCTCGGGGGACGACCCGCCCCCCATCCCGTGGAGCTGTGCAGATGTCAAGCCTTAGGACTACGTCGGGCCTGTTCCCTCTACAGGGGGAACACCCTAACATAGTTTTTAGAACATAGTCTGGGATCTTGTTTGGAGTATTGTTGGGCATGTTCGAGCATTTTTCGAAAATTTGTAATTCTTCGTCCAAAATCCCCCTGTAGGGGGGCAGGCCCGACCTAACCTTAGGAACATACGTAGCGAGGAAGTCTCGGGCGAAACGCCCGGTCCACCCTACACGTCTGGGGGCGCGACAGGGAAGAGCTTCTTGTAAGGAGGCTGAGTGGAGGAGGCCCGGAGCAAGAGGCATCGGGGGGCCTCCGGAGATTGCAGTCTCTGCTGGTGGTGGGGCCCGCGGCCGCCAAGTACTCCAGGCCTTCGCTGAAGAGGGGGATGAGGATCGACGGGCCTGGAGAGGAGAACGACGGCAACGAGGAGGGCGAGGACGAGGAGGTTGTGGAGGACGGGGAGAGGAGGATAAGCGAGGAGGAGGTGGAGGCCTCGAGCAACGGGCATCGGGTGTCCTTCAAGAGGGTCGACGGCCTGTGCCGGGGGGGCCACGCGCTTCCGCCAGCTGCTCTGCTCGTGGGCGTGCGACCTCGCCAAGAGCACCCGTGGCCCCTGGCCATTAGCATTCTAATTGGTTATGCGTGGTTTACGTTTGGTGTCTTTGTTGCACCAGGTTTGGTGAAGTTTTTGATGGATGCCCGACGCCGCCCGTGCAGGGGCAGGGTGCCCGTGCTTGGGCAGTGCCGCAGCGCCGTGCATGCGCTCCAGGAGCCGTGTCCGAAGTCCGGGGGGCGCCAGTACAGGGCCGTGGCGTGTCGCCGTGGACGCTGCCTGTCCCCGCCGTGCCTGACGCCGGCCGTGGTGTATCGCGAGTGCGCTCCGAAAGTGCAGGCCGCTTATTCGTCATGGAGACGGCCACATCGTGGAGCAGTCATTGGCCTCGGGGGGCCCTTGCCCGGCACTAGGGCCGCCCAAACACGACTCGGGATGAGGGTCCACGTCGTAAGGAAGTCACAGTATCGGAGATCTAGGTCGGCGCAGCTCCCGCCTTCGGCGGAAAGCGGCGGAACGCCAGCGGAAATCGGTGGGAGTAGGGCGACGGCGATTTGCGCGCGCGCCCCGCGCAAGGTTTGGCCGCTTGTGCGCGAGATGGCTCAGGAGGTGATGGGGATATATGCGGAAACGACAGAGGAGGCAGAGCAGGAGAAAGATGAAGAGTAACGGGACGGAGGAGGGGAGAGGGGGTCGTAGTGGATGGACGAGAAAAGGCGGAGGAAATCTTGGAGGGGGAGGGTTGAATGAGGGAATGGGGCAGGAAGGGGATGAGCAGGAAGAGGAGGAGGAGGACGACGACGACGACGTCGGCGTAGACGAGAAAGATGAATAGGACCAGAACGAGGAGGAAGTGGCCAACGGAGGAGGGCCAGGAGGCGGAGGCAGGGGCGGCAGCGGCAGAAGAGGCAGACGCACGAGAGGAAGCGGGCGCCGCCGCCGCCGCCCGAGTGCCCGACGGCGACAGCCTCGACGTCGGGCGCGTCCCGATGCTCTCTCGCTCTGCGTTTCCTCACGGCCTCCTGTCGTACAGTCGGGGCGCTGGAGAAGAAACCCTTTTCGTTGGGGAGGGGCTCGGTATTCCTTGATTGTTTTACAGTTTGCCTTGGGCTGTCCTTAGGTTTGCCATGGGGAATCGAAGTTTTAACTTATGGGAAAGAGGGGCCTCGTTCCTTATTTTCGGCTCCTTAGGTCAAGGCCCCCACTGTACACCCAGTAGGAGAACTGCTCTTGAACCCGGAGGAGCCCGAAGGAGGAGGGGCGGGCGGAGAGGCGCGGCGGCGACGGCGAGCGGCCTCCGCCCGCGCGCGCGCGGGCGCCGAGGACAACGGCAAGGGGGCCCTGATCGCCTCGCTGGAGCACCTGCGGTTCAAGGGCCTGTGCCCCCGCCCGGGGCGTTGCACGAGGGCGAGGCGCGCGAGGAGGGGGAGGAGGCGGAGGAGGAAGAGGAGGAGGAGGACGAGGAGGAGGAGGAGGAGGATGAGGAGGACGAAGAGGAGGAGGAGGAGGAGGAGGAGGAGGAGGAGGAGGATCTGAGGAGGAAGAGGTACCCATACCGCTACCCTCCCCTAGTCTTCGCCTTGCTGTCCCCAGCGGAGGACCAGAGCAAGCCCAAGACTCATCAACGATGCTGCAGTAAATCCCTCCTCCAAGTTCCTCTCTTCATCGGTCCCTACGAGGATTGATGATCCCTGAGGGACATGCCCCGATGGAAAAGAATCGCCTGAAAATCCTGAGCCGCGCCAGAACGCCATTCCCGGGATTCCAGAGCCGCGCTTCGACGTCATTGTTGGGAGGGGCAGGAGGAGGAGGAGGTGGAGGAGGAGGAGGAGGAGGAGGAGGAGCGTGGAGGAGGAGGAGGAGGAGGAGGAGGAGGAGGAGGAGGAGCGTGGAGGAGGAGCGTGGAGGAGGAACGCTGAGGGCAAGTGCCCCGCGGGAAGCCGACGCGCCCCCGGGCGAGGCCCCCCCGCGGTGCGCGCGGCCCCCGCGGAGGTTCCGGCGCGTCACGTGCCTGGCGCTCCGGCTGTCCGTGCGGCCCGCAGGCGGGGCGGCGGCCCCCCATGGCCGCCCGCGGGCCGCGGGACGCTGTTCGGCGGCGGGCCCCGGGGGGGAAGTGAGCGTCGAAAAAGAAAAAAAACAAAAAAGAAAAAGAAAAAAGGAACAAAAACAGAGAAAAGGAATAAGACAAAAATCATCAAAAAAACGGAAAACGAAACAAAAAGAGAAAAGGAACAAGAAAAGAAGAAACATAACAACGAAAAAAAGGAAGTGATATTCGAATTATGTCGGGCCTGTCCCCCTGCAGGGGGGATTTTCGACGAAAAATAAAAAGTACCCCAATAATGCCCCCAAAAGGTTAGAAAATACTAAAAAATTGTCCCCAGACTATTTGTGGACTATTTCTTAAATTATGTTTGGGGTATTTTTTATTTTTCGTCGAAATTCACCCTGTAGGGGGTCAGGCCCGACTTAGGGGTCGAAGAAGAACACCCAGAAACAATAAACCCAGACATGCTCGCGTCGTTAAAAAAATCGGCGCGGGGGGGGTGGGCTTTCTTTTCGACCCCCGGGGGGCCCTCACCAGGCCTCGGGGCTGTCAAGAAATGACCCGGGAGGAAGAAGCTGTCTCGGGGAAAGGGTCGGGCCTTCCAGGGACGCCGTTTTGAACAAATCAGGACGTGCATGTCTGGCAACATAAACTTTGGGCGCTCCGCGCGGATTGCTTGGATCCGCGCCGGGGGCCCCCCGGCGGCGCCTCTGGCGCCGCCCCCAGGCGCGTTTTGCACGCCATGGAGGGGTTCAGCGCAGATCCAAGAAGTCCGCGCGAAGCGCCAAAAGACAAGTTTATGTTTATGGCGTTTCTTCTTCTTCTAGAGAAGGGGCGGGTCGGTGCTTAAGAGACGGGGGTCAATGGAAATGGAGGTCGGTCAGAGCGCTGGATCTTGCAGGAACTTGCAGAGCCAGTGGTGCACTGACCATGGCTTGGGTACAGGATCCTGCTGCAGGATCTTGCAGGATCTTGCAGGATCCTGCAAAGCCCGAGTGACCCTGGTTTGCATTGAACCGGGTCAGTGGATCCCCGAGCGGGCTTTCGCAGGAGGCTCGGAAGGCCTCGGGCCTTCTGAGAAGTCTACTGAGCCTGCCCCGAAGACACAGGAAACTGTTCAGAAGGCCGCAGGGCTTCTGAGAAGCCCCGCCGCCTTCTGAGAAGGCCCCCCCCCTCTCACTTCCTCCCCAGGCGCGCCGCCAAATCTGAGCGACGCAGACAAGCGGGGTCGTCAGCACGGACACTTCGCAGGAGGAAGAGCTACCCATACTGCTACCCTTCCCTTGTTTCCGCCTTTTTGGCCCTCCTGGGAGACCCTCGCCGCCACCGCTGGATTCACCTCGAGATTCTGGTCAGAACGCGTCCCAGGACAGGCCCGGGGAGCACAGGCATCGGCACCTTTCGGTTTCTTCCCCACGCTGGCGCGTGCAAAAATTGCCCGCGCAAGGGAGGGAGGAGGGAAGAGAGGGAGGAGGGATGATGATGATGATGATGATGATGATGATGATGATGATGATGATGATGATGATGATGATGATGATGATGATGATGATGATGATGATGATGATGATGATGATGATGATGCTGATGATGATGATGATGATGCTGATGATGATGATGATGATGATGATGATGATGATGATGGAGGAGGAGGAGGAGGAGAGGAGGAGGAGGATGAGGAAGAGGGAGGAGGGACGAGGAGGAGGAGGAGGATCAGGGAGGAGAGGAGGAGGAGGAGGAGGAGGAGGAGGAGGAGGAGAAGAGGGAGCAGAGAGGAGGAGGAGGAGGAGGAGAGGAGGAGGAGGAGGAGGAGGAGGAGGAGGAGGAGGAGGAGGAGGAGGAGGAGGAGGAGATGGTCAAAACATAGTCCGGGGACTTTGTTTTGAGTATCTTTGGACATCTTTTTGGTGTATTTTGGGTGTATTATTTTCATTTTTCGCCCAAAACCCCCCTGTGGGGGGACACGCCCGACTTAACGCTATCGGGACGCCGTGATCCTTCCAGGCCGGGCGATCCACGCGATGTCAGAGGCCACCGCCGAGGTTGTCACGGTGTGAGCTTGCCGTGCGGGCCTCCCTGGCCTCGGCCAGGGCAGTGGAGCTGCCGAAGCGAGGAGCGCTGAGCAAGGAACGAAGGAGCCCCTTTTTTCGGGGGCGGAAAAGAGGGGGGTGATGACTAGGGGGGGTGGATATCATGGCGGGGGCCATGATATCTCCCCAGATCTCATGGCGCCTCTTCTTATTTCATTACGTCCCTGGCCCCCCCGCTGGGCCGCGCACGTGCCGCCGGTCATGATTTGCACCCCCCCCTCTTGGACACCCCCCTCTTGGCCGCTCCCGATTTTTGGCCCCCCAGAGCGCCTGCGTAGACGAGGATCGCGAGACAAACAGCAATATGAGCACCTTGAGGACATTGAGCCCCGTGCGAACCCCACCTGCCCCCTCTTTGCAGCGCCCTGGATGCAGGGCGCAGTGCGCCGTGCGCGATGTTCCTGGCGCTGGCCAGGCAGAGCGGTGTTGTGCGGAGTGCCTGCTCTGCGTGCGGCGGGGAGCGAGGGAGAGAGCCCCGACCTCCGACGCGGCGTGGGTGTGCTGGGTGCCGGCGTGCTTGCTCTCGATCTCTCTGGAGTCCGTTTTTGTTCGGGCCCCTCGGCAGTGAGGATGGAGTGTGGGGGTGGGTAGAGGAAGGACAGCACGCATGCACATGAACGTTTGGCGCTCCGCGCGGATTTCTTGGGTCCAACCCTGGTGCACTCCGCGCGCCAGGGAGGGGGATCCAGGAGAGCCCTCTTCCTCCTGCTCCGCCGTGACGTGCGGCTCGGCTCAGGTTTCATTCTGCCCTGTCGCGCGGCGTCGATGGTCACTACAGAGTCTTCCTCTGAGACGCCAGGCCACCTCCTCCATCTTCGTCTCTTCCTTCTCCTTCTATATACTCGTCCTTCTCCTTCTCCCCCTCCTCGTCCTTCTCGCTCCTCCGCCTCCTCCTCGTTCTCCTCGCTCCAGCGCCTCCTCCTCCCCCGCTGCGCACACCGGAGCGCGCACATGAGGGGGGGGGGGGGGGCAGGCAGCGGCCGGGATGGCAGAGGCAGGGCGAGGGAAAGGGGAGGGGGGGGGGCGGACGGGGCGGGGAGGGGGAGGGGTGAGGGGAAGAGAGTGCGGAGGGAGGGCGGGGCGCGGAGGGAGGAGAGAGCGGCGGGCAGAGGGAGAGCGGAGGGGGGAGAGCGGAGGAGGCGCGGGAGGTCGGTCGGCCCAGGCTCCGTCCCTCCCGCGGTCGCCGTGCTCCTCCTCCTCTTCCTGCGTCCTCCAGTCCAGGAGCGAAGATCGGAGGCGGACACGGGCGCAGTTCGAGTTCTGGGTCAGGTGGGATCCTACGTCGGCTGGGAAACGATTGGCGAAGGATGGAGAACACGAAAACCCATCGCCTATACAAACGCGTAGAGGGCATCCTCGGAGCTGTATTTACGTGTGTGTATATATATATATATATATATATATATCGGTGTATATATATAGATATAATGAGAGAGAGAGAGAGAGAGAGAGAGAGCGAGGGGGGGGAAACGCAAACGAACAAACAAACAAGAAGGCAGTGTCACAAGAGGCTTCCGCAATTCCGCCGAACTCTAGGAGAGGGATGAAGTCAACGAGTGAGGCTGTTTGAAGCCTTTTTAGGGGTTCATGGGGGTCTCTTCGGGCCTCTTGGAGTTTCTTGGGCACCTACTGGCGGTCTCGGGGGTCCTCTTGGGGCGGAGGTCTCGGAATATTAGATCGAGTTGCCACTCTTGGGCCTCTCTTGGGGCCATGATGCGGCTCTCTTGGGTCATCTTAGGCGTTCACTTCGACCGTCTTGGGGCCCTCTTGGAGGTTTCTTGGGCCGTCTTGAGCGTTCATATGAGCATCTTGAGCCAGCTAGGTCGCTGTTGAGACAAAACTGGGTATCGCTCGGACGTGTGCATTTTTTCGGTGAGGACCAACGAGGAGCATCTTGGATCATCTTGCGAAAAGTCAACGCGCGAAACCGAACATGCACTGGAAGTGGACGTCCGAGCGATGGCGAGAAAAATGCGAATTTGTTCGATTTGCACGTTTCCCTAAGAGGTTCGGACGATTCTTGTTTCTTGGTGCCCTCTCGGGGATCGTCTCGGAGCCTTCTTGGGTCGTCTTTGAAGTCCTGGGCAGTCTGAGGCTCTCTTGGCCTTCTGCCAGGACTCTTGTGCGTGCTGGAACCCTGCTTGAGCAAACGCAGGTCGATTCTTCGGCGCAGTGCAGCCAGAGAGCGCAGAAATGGAGGCTCCTGGAGGCACCGGGGGAGCGTTGATGAATTCGGAGACTCCCCAACGTGCCGACCCCGGGGCCCCGCCCGGGCCCTCCACTGGGGATCCCCCCCTCTAATGGGATGTCAGGCCCTACGGTAAGGGGGAAAGGAAGAGGGGGACAGCCAATCCTCTCACACGCCTTTCCAGACATGCTCGCGTCGTAAAGAATCAAGACGGGAGGTGTTTGGGCCCTCGCCGGGCCTCGGGACCGTCCAAAAACGACTCAGGACGAGAAGCCGGTCCCGGGGAAAGGGTCGGGACTTCCAGGGACGCCGTCCTGAAAAAATTAAAAAGCACATGTCTGGGGAGGGGGACAGCCAATCAGCTCTCACGCCTTTTGCACCCCTGGCAAGCTGGGGTCGGCGGATGTGTGTCTCCCTGGGCCCCTCTCCTACCGATTCCTGATAAGGCCAGGATCGTTTACTTGTCGTGTCGCGCTGTCGGTTCTGGCCCACCCTGCCTCGGCGCGACGCCCGAGCCACGCCCACAGACATGCGACGTACTGAGTTTTTCAGGACGGCGTGCCTGGAAGTCCCGACCCTTTCCACGGGACCGGCTTTTCGTCCTGCGTCCTTTTGTTAATGGTCCCGAGGCCCAGCGAGGGCCCCCCGGGGCCGAAAATAGCTAAACACCTCCCGTCCTGATTGTTTTACGAAGCGGTCATGCCTGTGGCCACGTCACAGCCCACAAGCGTGAGCGTCCCGAGCCTTTATCGGCCTCCCGCCCCTCGAAATGGGGCGACTCGCCATCCGCCGGCGAGGCAGGGCGTGTCGCCAACGCAGCCGCCGGGACATGCTCGGCGGCAGTTGGGAAGGTGGCAACATCACACAGAAACAACTCATCGTCGACTCCCAGGAAAATGTGGGAAATTCTTGACGCTTCGCGTATCCCCACCAGCTCATCCCTCGCCGGCACATGATCAGCGTTGTTAATTTTCTGCTGCTGGCACATGCTCAGCTGCTTCTTGGCCGGCACTTGTGCTGCGCCGTTAATTATCTGCCTTCCCGTGCGCTGTGTCCCAGCCTCGTTCTTACCGCCCTCTGGATTTTTCCGTGCCGGCCGCGAATCAAAAAAGTATCCCCACCAGCCCATCCAGAAACGACGCCCAAGCGAGTAGAGGAGATCATGGAAGCGGGGCAGCATACAGAGGAACAAGGGGCTGGGGAGGCCGTCGTACCCCAAGGGGGGGGGATGGAGGACGTCTCGGAGGCGGAAGAGAAGGAGGATGATGAGGGTGGGGAGGGAGGAATGAGGAGGAGGAGGAGGAGGAGGAGGAATAGGCGGATGATGATGTTGATGTTGATATTGATGATGCTGATGATGACGATGATGGTGGTGGTCTTGACGATGGTGATGGTGATGGTGATGGTGATAATGATGATGATGGTGACAATGAGGGGGAGGAGGAGAAGGATAAGGGTGATCAGAAGAGTCAAAGGCCTCTTGAATGCCTCGCGGAGTCTCTTGGGATGTCTCTTGGGATACTCTTTGAGGTCTCTTGGGGCGTCTTGGGGGCCTCTTGGCGGTCCCGGGAGCTTCTTGGACCGTCTTGGGTGCCTCGTGGGAGCCTCTTGGGGCCTCTTGGGGGCCTCTTGGGGGTATTTTGGGGGACTCGTGGAGGCCTCTTGGGGCCTCCTGGTCGCCTCTTGGGGCCTCCTGGGCGCCTCTTGAGGCCCTCTTGGGGCGCTCTTGGGAGCCTTGGGAGCGCTCTTGGGGCCATCTTGGAGGTGATCGATCAAAGGAAGGGGGTTCCCTAATTAGCCTCCCCCCCTCGGGAGCCTCCAAAATCGGCCAAAACCCTAGTAAAACCAATGATTTTGGCTTCCTATCTTGGGGCCAAAAGAGCCGTCCGACCGCTCGCGGAACCCTCCGTCCAGGTCCAGGGGAGGGGGTAGGGGGAGGGGTAATTCCCTCCCCAAGGGGGAAGAGGGAGGGGTGGAAGAGGATCTGTTCTAGACCACCTACGCCCAGAGGGCTGGTAGGACTTCTTGGGGGTCTTTTGAGAGCCTCTTGGAGGACTCTTGGGCGCCTCTTGGGGCATCCTGGGCGCCTCTTGGGACCCACTTGAGGCGCTCTAGGGAGCCTTCGGGGCGCTTTTGGGGCCATCTTGGAGGGAGTCGATAAAACAAAGGGGGGGGGGTTCAATTAGCCTCCCCCCTCGGGATCCTCCAAAATCGGCCAAAATCCTAGTAAAACCTATGATTTTGGCTTCCTATCTTGGGGCCAAAAGAGCCGTCCGGCACCTCGCGGCCCGCCCCGTCCAGGTCCAGGGGAGGGGGTAGGGGGAGGGGTAAACCCCTCCCCAAGGGGGAAGAGAGAGGGGTGGAAGAGGATCTGCTCTAGACCACCTACGCCCAGAGGGCTGGTGGGATTATGGGAGGTGGGGGGGGGAAAGACGAAAAACCAGAAGACATCGGAAATACTATAGGGGAAGCCTTGGATTGGTGTCTATTTGTTGGTGTGTCCCAGGGCCCCTTCAGCAGCTCCCGGGTCGTGTGTCTGATGTTTGTTCCACTTCTCTTGGCATCGCTCGGAAGTGTGCATTCTTCTTTCGGCGAGAACCATCGAGGACCATCCTGGGCCATCGAGCAAAAGGAACGCGCACGAAACCGAAACATGCACAGGAAATGGACGCCCGAGCGACGGCAAGTTCTGCCAGGTTCGGTCTTTCGCCCGAGGCCGCTCCCCGACGACCCCCGGGCCCGGGCACGGATCCCGGAAGCAGAGCGTACGATGAAGTCAGGCATGTCCCTCCACAAGAGGAGTTCAGGAGGGGAAAAATCACAAACACAATTAGTCGTCGATTCCCTAGAAAATATTGGATAATATGGGAAGTGAGGGGGAAATCAAAAACCCAGAAAATATTGGAAAATATAGGGATTAGTTTTATTTGTGTGTATTTATTTGTGTCCCAGGGCCTCTTCAGGAGTATTCAAAGGCAGTCCAGAAATAGTCTGGGCACGATTGTTCTATTATGTCAGATGATTGGTTGGCACCTGTTTCGTTTTCAGCCCAAACCCGCCTTTAGGAGGACATGCCTGGCCGAATGCTGGCAGATAACTGGCGGAGGTGACGAAGACCTAGACGAGATGACATTGAACATCCGATGGATTTGCGAAGACATGGCTGTTGGAGGTCTCTGGTGTCCTCCCTCGCTCGCTCCACCGCCACCTTTCAGATCCAGCGGCGCTCCCGTCGTCCGCGTCACCGCCGTTCTCGCCTGCGCACCGCCGCCGCCGCGGCGTCTGTCGCCCAAGCCGCCGCCGCTCGCCTTCGCCGGCGCCTTCTTGGAAGGCGCCTTCGCCGTCGCCTTCCAAGAAGCGGCCTCCTCCTGAGATGCTTCCCCTCCTCCCTTATTTGGTCGGAGCAAGATGTACGACCGAGCTCGGTTCGCGGAGGGTACCCTGATGTTGTTCGTGGGTGTTGGATGCTCCTGTGCATCCCTGGGGAAGGCACCCTCGAAGGCTCCTCAGCTTGGGCCAGCGAAGGGTCTCGCGTTCTTGAAGGATGGTATCCTGCCCCGTGTCCGACCCCAGGCACGCGACGTGCCGACTGGTTCGGGACGGCGGCCCTGGATGTCCCGACACTTTCCCCGGGACCGGCGTTTCGTCCTGCGTCCTTTTGTTGACGGTCCGACCTCCCGAGGCCCGGCGAGGGCCCCCCCGGCGCCGAAAAGAGCCAAACACCCCCCGTCCTGATTGTTCCAACGACGCGATCATGTCTGGGGCCATACCCCTCTCCGCGCGCCGCCTGGGCGGCGCACGAGAGCTGGCGCGCGGGAGAGCGACAACTCCTCCGTGCCCCGCCCCGCGGCGAGGTGCCTGCGGGGGGCCGGGCGGCGAGGCGGAGCCGGGCGGCGACGGGGCCGAGGCGGGCCGTGCCCTCTTCGCTGCTGGCTGGTGGGGCAGACTTGCCTGTGGGCTCGGAGCGGGGGCACCGATCCCAGACCTCCTCCCTGGCATCGCTCGGGCGTGCGCACTGTTTCTCGGCGAGGACCGTCGAGGACCATCCTGGACCATCGAGCAAGCCAAGCACGCACGAGACCGAAAACAGGCAAGGGAAATGGACGTCCGAGCGACGGCAAGCCCCGCGCTGCGAAGAGAAGACGATGTTCGGCCTCCAGTGGCTCTCAATGAGCCCCAGGACCGTTACAAAACGGTTCAGGATGGAAACCCGGTCCCGGGGAACAGGTCGAAATCTCTGGGGGGCGACGTCATGAAAAAACCATGGCGTCGGGGGTCTGAGATAGGGGGGGAAGGAGGGGTGGATCCCAGACCTGACCGCATCGTACCGAGATCGCGACCGAGATTGTTAAGAAGTCCGGGAAACTAGGTCGGAGCCGCATCGGCCACGAATCACCCATGGTAGATCGCCGATGGGGGTCTGCTAGCTCCGCCCCGCCCAGGAGCGTGCGGAGTCGCTATCGGGGGCCTATCGCTGATCTATCGGCGATGTATCGCCGATTCCAGGTCGATTCCCCCCCCCCCCCCCGTGTGCCAGTCCCCCCTGTCGCTGCCAGTCATTGTTGGTATCGCTCGGACGTGTGCATTTTTGCTCGGCGAGGATCATCGTGGAGCATCCTGGATCCTTTGGCGAGACATACGCGCGCGAGGCCGAAAAATCCAGGGGGCATGGACGTCCGAGCGATGGCAAGCATTGGAGTGGGCGTAATCTTAAGTCGGGCCTGTCCCTCTACAGGGGGAAGATTCAAAAAAATAGTAAAACAATAGTCTGGGGACAATTTTTTGGAGTACTTTGGGGCATCTTTTGGATCTGGTGTGAGTATCTTTTATCTTTCGGCCAGAATCCCCCTGTAGGGGGACAGGCCCGACCTGAGCGTAATCCCGTCCCTCTTTTCCGCCCGCCCTCCTCTCGGTGTCGGCCTGCTGCCTCGAGGCGGCCGCCCAGCTGTACGGGCCCTCGCTCGCAGGACGGCCACTCGACTTGGCGTGGCGCTGCGAGTCCGCTCGCGGGCACGGCGCTCGCGGCAGCTTGCAGTCGGTTCGCCTGAGGAGGAGGAGGAGGAGGAGGAGGAGGAGGAGGTCGGTTCGCCTCGTAAGGACGCGCGCGTTCATCTGGGGTGCCCTTGAGAGCCTTTGCCTCTGCGGCCCGGCCCGTCCTCTGCGCTTTCGCTGGCCTCTCCCTGGGTTGGGGTACACTTGCGTCTCCGGGGGTGTTGGCCGCCCGCTGCCCCCCCAAACATCCAACCTCGTCCTCCAAGGGTCTTGCATACTTACCATCCGTCCTTAATACACGTGTTGACTGTAGTGGTTTCACGATTGCGTCCCCTGGCTTGTCGCGGTGTTGTTGTGTCCGCCCCATCCCTTTCAAGGGGCTCTCGCGGCATCGGAGGTTTTGAGGCTTTCGGGCTTTCGAGGCTGGCATTGTCCCTTGGTGGTGTTATTTCCTCGCCCCCTTCTCCCCCTCCCTCTCCCTCCACAAGGGGGCACTCTGAAGACTACTCTCCTCTCTCATCCGAAGATGTCCGAAGAGTGGCCGCCCCCCCCCTCCGCTTACTTGGTTCTATTACACGCACGTGTTGCGAGAACGAGCTGTTCTTTCGTGCTCTCTGGATTCAATCCCTCCGCATCAGGTTTTGTCAAGCACCGTATTTTCGCGAACTGGCGTGTCATGGTCTTGCGCCATCCAAGTGTTTCCAGTTTTTTTCACAACTGGTGCTCTTGCTGGAGCGTGGGCCTCACTTTCGGATCGGCGCTGTGCTGCCGTTGCTCAGAATGGCGCTCCCACTCTAGCGTTAGCCATGTTTCTCTGGATCCCACAGGTCTCGCAGGCACCACAGGCCCCCATGTCCCAACGGAGCTACAAGTGACGCAGATCGCCCCACAGATCCCACCGACCTGACAGGTTCCACAGGTCCCACGCGTGTCGTTGGTCTCGCCTGCTGCATGTCCGACAGGTCTGACAGGTCCCGCAGGTTCCAGAGTTGTCGCATGCCCCCCATGTCCCACAGGTCCCGCCGGTGCCACGAGGAGGAAGAGGAGGAGGAGGAGGAGGAGGAAGAGGAAGAGGGGGAGGAAGAAGATGTAGAGGGGGAGGAGGAGTTGGAAGAGGAGGAGTTGGAGGATGAGGAGGAGGAGGAGGAGGAGAAGGAGGAGGAGGGGGTCCCCAGGTCTCGCTGGTCTCACAGGTCCCACAGTTCCAACAGGTCCCATAGGTGTCGCAGGTGCCACAGGGCCCACAGGCCACAGGGGTCCCCCAGATCGCACAGGTCCCACAAGTTTTGGGTGGGGCGTGTTCCTCCACTGGAGGAGTATTCAAGAATAGTGCAACAATAGTCTGGGGACGATTTTTTGACTATGTTCGAATATGTTTGATTATGTATTGGGCTATGTTTCATTTCCCTTCCAAAATCCGCCTTTAGGAGGACATGCCCGACCTCACCCCAGGTCGCACATGTCCCACGAGTTTCCCTATTCCCGATTGCGCATAACACGATAGGGGTCTCCTGTTGAATTCCAGGTCGGCTATGACGCGTCCGCGGATGCAGGAAACATCCGCGCAGGGGGCAGGAATGGGAGGGAGGGATTGGATCTTGGATCTGACGCGAGCGCACCCAGCTTGCCCTTGCCCTCTCTCCCGGCCCTCGTCGATTTCTGCCTGGGCTCCACCTCGGGGGCGGCCGATCTCTCGGAGCGGGAGTTGGCTTCTTTTCCCCCGGCGGCTTGCAGTTGTCGTCCCCGACACAAGGAGGGGGGGGGGAGGGGGGGGAAAGGCACCTCCACCCCCAACTGGCCCCCTCCCCTCTCCTGGGGCGGAGCCAGAGAGCTTCGGCCCCCAGCCGTAAGGATGTTTCCGAGCAGGGGCACGGAGACCTAGACATGCGACGCCCTGATGTTTTGAAAACCGCGTCTCTGGAAGGCCCGACCCTTTCCCTGGGACTCGTTTTCGTCCCGAGTCGTTTTTTGGCGGTCCCGAGGCCCGGCGAGGGCCCCCCGGGGCCGAGACTAGCCAAAGACATCCCATCCAGGTTGTTGTTGTTGTTGGTGTTGTTGTTGTTGGTGGTGGTGGTGGTGGTGTTGGTGTTGTTGTTGTTGTTGTTGTTGTTGTTGTTGTTGTTGTGATTGTTGTTGTTGTTGTGATTGTTGCTGTTGTTGCTGTTGTTGTTGCTGCGGTTGTTGTTGTTTTTGGTATTGTTGTTGTTGATATTGCTGTTGTTGAATATTATTACTTCTAAAGAATAATTATTGTTGGGCCCCCTGGTGCACGCCCCCCCCGCCGCGCCTAGGCCGCAGCCACGTTTTCATCATTTTCGTGAGGAAGCCTCAGGTAAAACGATGTGATCCAGATCCGGTTGTTTTGTTGTAATCCGTTTTCCCTTGCAAAAAACACTATAAAATGACATTTCTTGTTCTAATATAATCAAATTTCAAGAATCCCTTGCAAAAAATAAGGTAAAGTGGACATTCGCGCGCGCAAGACGAAATCCTTCCAAAAGCTTAGTGTTCGGAGCGATTTTAACATAAAAACATCAAAAAACCAATGGTTTTTCAACAAAAAAATGTCAAAATCTCATCCCGCGCGCTCTTGCGGATTCGTAGGAAACCCAACACTTTTTAAACATTTCTGTCAAACGGGCTTTTGCGAGCAACTTTTTCGAACTTCTGCGACAACGGTTGCGCACCTGCCAGGGCCATCATCCCTGTCAAATAATACCATGCGGGACACATTCGTTTTTTCTTCGCGCGCGCACGCCGAAATCTCCAAAAACCATTGGGCTTCTTAAGAATTTTAGCACCGCGCATCATAAAATCACACGAATCGCACCGTAGGTCCTCGAAAAACACCTGCACGACTTTTCAAAATTTCCACCCGCGCGCGCTGTCCGAACCCCTCCTTCCGTTCTCTCTTCTCTCCTTTCCTCCTTGTCCTGCTCCTCCTCCTCCTCCTCCTCCGGCGGGGGGCGTGAGGATCCGGCATCGCTCACAACCATCGGGACAACCATCGGGACAACCATCGGAACAACCATCGGGACAACCATCGGGACAATCATCGGGACAGTCATCGGGACAACGATCGGGACAAGCACAACCATCAGGACAACCATCGGGACAATCATCGGGACAACGATCGGGACAACCACAACCATCAGGACAACCATCGGGACAACCATCGAGACAACCATCGGGACAACCATATCCTCTCTCTCTTGTGTATTCCCACATCCCTCAGGAATTTGCCCTAAAGATGTGATCAACTATCTTGTGAGTACGTATCATGTGTATCATGTGTATCATGTACCATATGCATCATATGCAACAGATGTTCTGTGGAAGGCTTAACAACTTCTGTGGGTTAACAAGGCTTAACAACTTCTGTGGGTGTACGAACGTAGGCTTAACAACTTCTGTGGGTGTGTACTCCACGCCAGTGTAGTAGCCACGGTCGTCCGCAGGCCACGAAGTGAAGTGTCCGAACGTCATAGGGCGGGAAGCTGGGTGTGGGTGGTGGCGAAGAGTCGTGTGGATATTTGGTAGAGCTTGCACTGCCCCCCCACAAAGTGGGGGTATTGGCTGGCGTCGCATGAAAACCCTGGCACTGGTGAGAACACTGAGCGTTCGGGTAAAGTGATTGTTGTTGTTGTTGTTGTTGTTGTTGTTGTTGTTGTTGTTGTTGTTGTTGTTGTTGTTGTTGTTGTTGTTGTTGGTGTTGTTGTTGCTGTTGTTGTTGTTGTTGACGACGCGATCCTGTCTGGGGTGTCAGCGCGGCCTGCTGGATGTGCGGCTTGGGTGGTGGTGGCTTTCCAGGGGCGTTCAGGGGATCGGAGGTCGGAGGTGTGAGTCAAGCAGTGGCGAAGCGTCTAGGCTCGCTTATAGCCCAACCAGACAATGTTCTAAGAACCTTTTGTGGTT